AAATAAATAAAATCTTAAAGTACGTTTAAAAAAAATCCAAGATCACTATTATCTTCACCTGGTTACTTGCCTTCCCTGTGATGCCAGTGGTTGTAGCAATATCACCAGCTCTTTAGGAAATGGTTTGAAGGAACAAAAGAGGGAGAGAGGACAGTCAGGAGGACCCAGCAGTTTGGATGGTGTTGTAGAAAACTGCAAGAGAAAAGCTGGGGGCCATTGGCGTTTAGTTGTCAGAATGATTAGCTCTAATTGGGGACATGCCTTCTGGTAAGCCACTACTTTTTTTCTTTCTTTCCCCACTTACCATCTTTACATATCTATACAATACTCAGACAGGTGTTCCATCCACCAAAAGCTATAATAAGCACTTGTTTTCTCTCTAAAACTGTTTTCCTTTCTTGTTTCTTTTTATCAGTGTCACCATCACTCACACAATCATCCTGGCCCAAAGCCCAGAGTCCTATTTTCCTTTTCTATCTCTCTGTCCCTCTGCCATACCCAGCCTTGCTATGTGTTAGTGCCTGGCCACTATTTTCAGGTCTGAAAGCCCTAGCTCCATCTCAGGCCCATAGCACTATTTCCAGAAGGGACTGACTACTGGCTTCTTAACTTGCCTTTTGCTTCTGCCATGTAGTACACTTCCTTAAACATCACTCTTGCCATTCCCTACCCAGGAGTTTTAGTGGATTCTTGATATCTTTGTTCATGGCCGTATCCCCAGAACCTATGTGTGGGATGCTCTAAGAAAATATTTTTTGGAATGAACGTATGACCTGCTTTACTGGATAAAATAAAAACTCCTTCAATAAGCAGTCTGCTTCTTCTCTGGTGTCATTGTCCCTTCTCTCTCTCCTTGTACTCTCTTCCATATACAAACACACATAGAGGAGTATGTGTCTGTTTTTTTTTGCACTTTTCTTTGGCCAAATTTTAGTTACTTGTCAGGGTCCACAGTCAAATGGTAACTCATCAGGAAAAGCACCCTCGCTCCTTGTTGCATACTTTTTTTTTTTTTTTAAGATTTTATTTATTTGAGAGAGAGCATGAGAGAGAGAGAACAAGGGAGGGGGTAGAGAGAGAGGGAGAAGCAGACTCCACACTGAGCAGGGAGCCCAACTTGGGGCTCAATCCCAGGACTTTGGGATCATGACCTGAGCCAAAGGCAGACACTTAACCGACTGAGCCACCTAGGTGCCCCCTGTTACATATTCTTAAGCACTGGGTGTTATATGCAACTAATAAATCATTGAATACTACATCAAAAACTAATGATGTACTATATGCTGGCTAACTGAACATAATAATAAATACATACATATATGTGTACATGGTACTCTGAAAAGAAAATAAAACGCTTCTTTTACTCACTGTGTCCCCAACACCTAGCACAGTTTGGGTACAGAATATGTGCCAGTGCATGAAGCTTTTTCTTCTGCAGTAAGGGATCTCTATTCGGAGCCTCTGTAAAGTACTTACAGTCTGTGGCATGCATGTTGCTTGGCTTAGTGGCTCTGTTGCTGCTTTTGCCATCATTAGTGATCTTTTGATAGGAGTGTTTATCTCCAGCTAGACTAAGAGTATATTTTTTATTTCCTTCCCAGTACCCAGGAATTGCTTCTCAGAAATGAAGTGTTTGTCCTGAGCTGTACTATTAGCTGTCATGTTTTCCTTTATTTATTTATTTATTTATTTATTTGAGAGAGAGACAGACAGACAGACAGAGATAGCAAGAGAGAGCAACAGTGGGGAGGAGAGGGAGAAGCAGACTCCCTGCTGAGCAGGGAACCTGATATGGGTCTCAATCCAAGGACCCTGGGATCATGACTTGAGCCAAAGGCAGACGCTTCACCGATTGAGCCACCCAGGCGCCTCTGTCATGTTTTCCTATGGATTTTTAAGGACAGGGCCATGTTTTATTTATCTCTGATCATTAGAGCCTAGAACAACACTTAGACTATTGTGTTAAGTAAATACCAAATGAATGCAGTTTTATACTTATACCCAAATAGTCTGCATTTTCAGAGTAAGCTTTCTGTAATGTTTTCTGGACCTTTTAATTCCTTCAGTGTAATGGCGTGGATCAAAATTTTGTCTCTAAGGAATAAATCCCTAAAGGAGGTTATAAGGGTTCTTAATGGGTTTTGACTGCCTGTCGGAGTTCTGTGGGGAAGCCAGAGATTCTGGTGAAGTTACTGTCTAGATTTTAGGCCACGAGGTGGAGCTCTAGAATCAGCTTTGTCCATTGGAAGGCACCCGGGCCCCTGGTATTCTCAGACTTTAGAGGGAATCAGAATCACCTGGGAATCTAGTTAAAATGCTCCTTCCTGGAGCACAGATCCAGAGATTGAATTGTTAAGACCTGAGGCAGGACCTGTTAATCTGCCATTTGCAACAGCTATTCCAGATGATTAAGCAACTTTGCATTTCCTGCAAGATGGGAGCTGTGGTTATTAAAAGGTCCATGTTGGGGTTGGGGGGGTAGGGGAAGGTCCATGTTGAATTTATTTCTGTGTTCATTCTGATCCAGGGTCTTTGGACTTTAGGCCAGAGCTTCCCCATTCCCATTCCTTTTCACAAGCACAAATGTGCATTTTATAAAAGAGACCTCAGAACATCTGGGGAATGGATGGGAGTTCTGGAAGCATGTACCAGTCCATATCCTTCCTTTAATATTCCCCAATATTGCTATTCGGAAGGAGGTGATGTCAAATCCTTAAATCAAGTGGACTTTCTTGTTGTAAAATCAAATCTTTTCTCTTTAAAAAAATTTTTATGGTAAAAAAAATTTAGATACAAATATTAGTAAAAGGAATACTAATGTACCTATTGCTTAGCTTCAGTAATTAACCCATGGACAGTCTTGCTTCATTTATTCCTCATCTGTGACCTCCCTTCCCAATTATTTTGAATCAATTTCCCTGTAATATGATCTCATTTCTTTGTAAATACTTTACTATGTATCTCTGAAAGATAATTCTTTTCCTTTTTATTTTTTAAAGATTTTATTTATTTATTTGACAGAGTGGGAGAGCACAGGCAGGGGGAGTGACAGAGGGAGGAGGAGACTCAGGCTGAACAGGGAACCCAGTGTGGGGCTCCATCCTAGGGCCTTGGGATCCTGACCTGAGCATAAGGCAGACGCTTAACCACTGAGCCACCCAGATGCCCCAGGATAATTCTTTTTTAAATTGAGATAAATTCAGGAGCACTTGGGTGGCTCAGTCATTAAGCGTCTGCCTTCAGTTCAGGTCATGGTCCCAGGGTCATGGGATCGGGCCCCACATCGGGCTCCCTGCTTTTCGGGAAGACTGCTTCTCGCTCTTCCACCCCCCCCTGCTTTGGTTCCCTCTCACGCTGTGTCTCTCTTTGTCAAACAAATAAATAAAATCTTTAAAAATAAATAAATAAATAAATTGAGGTAAAATTCACATAACATAAAATTAACCATTTTAAAGTGAAAAGGTCAATAGCATGTAGCATGTTCACAGTGTTTTATAACCACCACCTCTATCTAGTTCCAAAACATTTTCATTCTCCTAAATTAAAACTCATACCCTTTATGCCGTAACTCCCCAGAATACTTTTCTCTTGGTAGCTTCTGGCTACCATCTATCTGCTTTCTGTTTCTTTGGATTTACCTGTTCTAGCTGTTTCGTACATTATGTGACTTTTGGTCTGGCTACTTATACTTATCATCATGTTTTCAAGACTCTTCCACGTTGTAGCATATATCAGTACTTCGTTCCTTTTTATGGCTGGATAATATTCTATTGTATGGATATACCACATGTTGTTAATCACCCTTTGATAGGTATTTGAGTTGTTTACACTTCTTGGTACTATGATCGGTGCTACTATTAACATTCATGAAGAAGTATTTGTTTTGAGTACCTGTTTTCAGTTCTTTCAGGTATATACCTAGCAGTAGAATTACCGGGTCATATTATAATCCTATGTTAAAACTTCTTGAGGAACTGCCAAATTACTTTCCATAAAAAGATAATTCTTTTAAAAAACATAATCCCAGTATTATCATACCTAAGAAATAACAATAACTTCTTAATATCATTGCATCTATTTAATTAGTGTTTAAATTTGCTTAATTGTTGGGGCACCTGCCTGGTTCTTTTGGTAGAGCATGTAACTCTTGATCTCGGGATTATGAATTCAAGCCCTACATTGGGTATGGAGATTACTTAAAATCTTAAAAAAAGAAAATTTCCTTAATTGTTTCATGAATGCTACAGATGATTCAGGATTTAGATAGGGTTCATACAAAGCAATTATTCAATATGGCCTCTGAGTCTCTTAATCTATAACTGTTCCTGCCTCTCACATTTTTCCCTTGCAAATCTATTTGTTAAAATAACTATTATTTATCATATGGAATTTCTCACATTTTAGATTATAGTAATTGCATTTTACACTGTCGTTTAGCATGTTTCTTCTGACCCATTTTTTCCTGTAAACTCTTTTTAGATTAAGGGGCTTGAAGTGATTCAGGGTTTTGTGGGTGGTTTTATTTTTGGGGGGTTTTTTTGGTTGTTGTTACAAAAATATTTCATAGGTGGCATTAGATATAGCCATAAGGAAGCTAAAAATGTCTAGTTTTGTCTCTACTTTTGTTTTAAAATACATTGACCGACTTCTAATTTGGCTTTTTGAAATACAAGTGGTGCTGCTGAAGTTGTGGAGAAACTGGATCGCTCCTGCATTGCTGGTGGGAATGTACCATCGTATAGCCACTCTGAAACATAGTTTGGTAGTTCCTTTATAGATTAAAAATGAACTCTCCAGGCTCAAAAGATACATACTGCATGATTCCATGTAAACATTCACAAACTAATATATTTGAACAGATGGAGAATCGATAAGTGGTTGCCAGATGTTAGCAATGGGGATAGAGTGGGGATGAATGTGGCCATACAAGGAAGGGTAGCATGAGGGAGTCTTGTGATGATGGTAACATAAGTGTCTTCTTCTTCTTTTTTTTTTTTTTTTTAAATATGGAATGCTTCACGAATTTGCGTGTCATCCTTGCGCAGGGGTGATGCTAATCTCTGTATCGGTCCAGTTTTAGTACAGCTGAAGCGAGCACCACAGGTGTTTTAATTGTAGTGGTTACGTGAAGCTGTGCATGTGATCTAATTGCATAGAGCTACAAAGACATACACACACACACACACACACACAAATGAGTGCATGTGTAATCGACAAAATCTGAATAAATTCTATAGATTGTATCAATGTAAATTTCCTGGTTTTGATATTTTACTATTGTTATGTAGGATGGTAACACAGGGAGAGGGTGGCTAAAGGGTACAAAGGACCTTCTTGTACATGTCTTTGCAACTTCCTCTGAATCTGTACTTGCTTCAGAATTAGAAGTTAAAAACATATGAATTCTGTCTTAGTAATGTTCTCCTTTTAAAACTTTGAATAAAGCTGAAGTCTATTCTGACTACTACTTCTTCCGGTCCTGGTCCCCTGTCCCCTCCCCTGAGGGTAATGAGTGTTAGGAATTTGTAGTATATGCCTCCAGAACTTTTTTTTTTTTTAAACTTTTATATGCTAACATATGTACCCATAGAAAACATACAGAGTTGTCTCTGTATCCATGTATGTTTTTCACTCATCAGTATGTGTTGGAAATTTACCCATACATTAATATACCTGGATTTATCTCATTTCTTTTGCCAGTTAAGAATTTGAGTCAATTCTCTGACCCTTTCTGTTGAGTCAGCTGAGATTTTTCTTCTAGAAGTCTATTGTAAGCACTCCCACCCCTGTGTCCCCAGTGGAGGGTAGATACTCTTCCTATGTTTCTCACTACACATGTTCCCCTTACTACAACACTATTTGTGTTATAGATAGAAACTTTTGGTTTCCTTATCCCTAATTGGTTCTTGAGGTTGTCTCCTTCATCTTTTTTTTTCTTTCTTAAGATTTTATTTATTGGGGTGCTTGGGTGGCTCAGTTGTTAAGCGTCTGCCTTTGGCTCAGATCACGATCCCAGGGTCCTGGAATCAAGCCCTGAATCGGGCTCCCTGCTCAGCAGAAGCGTGCTTCTCCCTTTCCCACTCCCTTTGCTTGTGTTCCATCTCTTGCTGTGTATGTGTGTGTGTCTCTCTCCTCTCAAATAAATAAAATCTGTTAAAAAAAGTTTTTATTTAATCTTTAAAAAAATGATTTTATTTATGTATTTGACAGAGACAGTGAGAGAGGGAATATAAGCAGGGGGATAGGGAGGGAGAGAAGCAGGTTCCCCGCTGAGTAGGGAGCCTGAGAGGGGCTCCAGTCCCAGGACCCTGGGATCATGACCTGAGCTGAAGGCAGGTGCTTAACAACTGAGCCCACCCAGGTGCCCCATATCCTTCATCTTATTTCATACTTGAAACTATGGGCCTAGTACAGTATGTAAAATAGTTAGCAGGTATTCAGTAAATGTTTATTCAGTAAATGCATGCATGAACACATGAGTTAATGAATGACAGGACAGGGTGTGAAGTGAATTACTTATATAAATCCTCTGGCCCTGATGCTCCTCATCTGATACTATTTTCTTGGGTAGAATAATCCATCTCCACCATGTATTCTGTGAAATCTTGTTTTTTTTTGTTTTGCAGTTTATTTGTCTTTAAGAATTATTTATTTGAGAGAGAGGTGGGAGGGACGGAGGGAGAGGGAGAGAGAAACTCAAGCAGACTCCACGCTGAGCATGGAGCCCCACATGGGGTTCGATCTCACCATCTGGTATCATGACCTGAGGCAAAACCAAGAGTCCAGCGCTTAACCAGCTGTGCTACCAAGGCGCCCCTCTGTGAAATCCCGTTGAGCCAAGAAGCAGAAAAAATTTGCTGGTCCTACGTCTGCTGCTTATCTGTCGTGTGCTCAGGACCAAATCATGTAACTGCTCAGGACCTTGGTTTCCACCAGTGTGAAATGAGAATCATGGGATCATGGCCTGAGCTGAAGGCAGATGCTTAACTGACTGAGCCATCCAGGTGCCCTGCCTCTTGTAATTTTTCCAATTTTCTGCTGCTTTGTGGCTTGCCTCTCAGATTGAGTTTCATGTATAGATAAATGTCAGGACCCATGTGAACTTTGGTGGATCCCATTTTCCTTTTTAATGTACAAAGTCAGAGTTTTTCAAACTGCTGCTCATGATCCATTAAATCATTCATTCAGCAGCTCTTTATTGAATGACGATTATGTGTCTGGCACTGTTTAAGCACTTGGGATATATGGGGAAAACAAACAAAAGCTCACAGTCTAGTGGGAAAAGACAAGAAACAAAATAAATACATAAAAATATATGGTGTATAAGATGGTGATTCATGTACTGCAGAACAATAAAGCAGGCAAGGGAGACAGGGAGTACTGGGGAGCTTATATTTTTGCACAGGGTGTCAGAAAGGGCCTGGTTGAGGAGGATACTTGAAGAAAGAGGTGAGTGAATGAATCATGGGCATCCCTGGAGAGAAGCATTCTGGACTTCAGGATCTGCAAATGCAGACCCTGAAGCAGAAGCATGTTTGACTTGTTCTAGGGTCAGCAAGGAAGCATAATGTGGTTGAAGTAGAGTAAGGTAAGAAGAGTGCTAGAAGGTGGGGTCAGAGATACAGGGATCGGGGAGGTGGTTGTTTAGGGTTTTACTGGTGTCGTAAGGAATTGGTTTTTACTCTGGTGTAAATGGGGAGCCACTGGATGACCTTTAGCAAAGGAATGATGTGTTCTGACTCATGGTTCATCATCCCTCTGGCTGTGTTATTCAAGATAAATGAAGCATGGGCCAAGAGTGGAAGCAAGGAGGCTAAGGTAGGAAGCTCTTTCAATAATTCTGTGGGCCACGACATCAATTTAGATGGTCACAAGTATTTATTAAATAAAAAAAATATAGAATAGAAAATCAGTGCATAGCATTATAGTAGGTGGTAAGTATTGTTTAATGAAGTTATGCTAAAAGATATGGGTGTACTGGGATGCGGTATAAAATGTACTTTACAAAAGGTTGCTAGAAAAAAGTTTCAAAGCCATTATTCTAAGACAGTTCTGTGACTGCCAGCTAGAAGGGACTTTGGTGTTTGGATACGTTCCCAGTGAGCGGCTCCTGTGAGAAACAGGCTGGCTTCCTGTTTCTTCTCCCATCACTCAGCACTTTGGCCTGGCCTTCCCTCTCTTTCTTTTGCATCCCTCGCATCTCTCATTTTCAACTGTTTGTGTAGGAGTTCTTCCTAGAAGGTAAGAAACGGAGATTTTGTTTTCAGACCCTCTTCTGCTTAGGATTTTTTCCAGACTTTGCCTCTTTCCTCTTTAACATTCCTCCAGCTTTGTGATCTTGTACCCTAACAGTCATGTACCTGCCCCAGTTTCCCCTCCTGCCATCAGGGACTGCCTGTTCACTTGCATGTATTCCCACCCCTCCTGCAGCACTGTTACTGTTGCTATAGGAGCTGCCATCCCAGTCTCCCTCTTCCCCTGGCTTTTTCCTGCCTCTTGCCACCCACTGTTCATTAAACTCTCCCTTTCCAGTTTTATGTACTGTGAGGTTGGGGCTGATGCTAATGTAAAAATCTGTCAGAAGGTAGGACCAGGAGTAGTTAGTTGTAAGTGAAGATTAAATGGCTGCTTACGAAATCCCTCTCTGTTTTCTGTAGCTTGGGATGAAGGGGGATTCTGAGTAAGCCAGGCCATCTGATGAACTGAGATGACTAAATGTTGAGTCCTTTGTTCTGTGGGAAATTCATGAGTGTCCTAGAACAAATCTTTTGGTTATGGCAGTGCCTCTTACTTTATTTTGAGATCTTGTTTGGTTCTGTGTGGTTTTTGGCATCTCTGGGCCAAATGCAAAAATTTAGGTTCCAGATCATTTCAACTTTGGGTATGTCCCTTTTCTGGAAGATGGTGTGATTAGAAACACTGCAAGCCTGCCATCCACGTTTGCTTCGTGGTGGGACTAGATATGTCATTTGTTCATTTAAAGATGTGTCTCTCTTTTTTAAAAGACTTTATTTTTAACTAATCTCTGTACCCACACCATGGGGCTCAAACCCACAACCATGAGATCAAGAGTTGCATGCTCTATTGACTGAGCCAGCCAGGAGCCCCTATCCAAAGATCTCTTTATCAGAAATTTACCAGGCCCTTCTGCCAACTTCAGTCAAACTCAAATTTCTGGGTATTCAAGAAGGGAAGGAAATCTTATCAGGTACGCTGAACCTGTATCTATATTTCAAGCAGGGGGGTTTGGCAGCGAATCATGTTCTGGGGAAAGTGAGTTTGTTTAGACACAGATCACAGTGTTATCTTTCTCATACTAGTTGTCTAATAGTTCCAGCTTCCTCTAGGGAAGTCTCAATCTTGGAATTGAGGATTGTGTTAGAAAAAACAAAAGAGAAACCCCAGGTTCTCCTGCCAACTCACATAAAATAAATGGCTGAGGGATTATTATGACCCTGAGCATACTTAAATAAGATTGGTGTGGGCTGTGACTCCCTGAACTTGTTTGCTTTCTACTTCTAGTGTTCTCTAGGATTTGTCATATTCTGTGGGTTGTGCGAGTACAAAATGTCCTTTACTCCTTATAGGTTATCCCATCCTAAAGCAGAAACTGGAGGGGAGGAAGGGATTTCCCCCACCTATATAGGATCTTGATTTTGCCACTCTCATTGTACAATACCAGGTTTGATGTCTGTGTGGAATAACAGTGCATATCACGGGTGTTATTGAAGCTTTCACTTGGAAACTGTAAGGAATTTCATGCTGGTGGGCATTGGTAAATCATGTTGGTACCGGCAGATGAATTAGTTAGTCATGGTTTTATGGAAATCTAGGTCCATAGAATCTAATCTTGGAAAAGTTAGCAGTGCCCTGTCTTGCGCTGAACACGATCACAACGTATCTTTCTCCCAGTTCCTTTCCTTGGAAACAGCCTTAGCCTGTTTCTCTTCTATTCCAAGGCCTTATCCTTCGCCAAGTACTTTTAAAAATGTTCTTTTTACTCCATAAGAACAATTAAAAAGTCCATTTGAATACTGGGGGTGGGAGGGAGCAAAAAAGGAAAAATTCAGGAGACCACACTAGTGAGAAATATTTTCCTGTTGTTCTGTGGTTCTCTTGCTTTTCGTCCTGGATCTTTTACATGCTGACCCTTGGATTACCTCCTACCCCATTCTTGTTGCATTTTATGACAAATCATTGGTTGAAGATAGGTTGGGAATAGATTTTTTGCTTTTCTTTTTCTAAATAAGGATATTTTGAGTTGAACACATTTTAATCTGTTGCTTGCCTTTCAAGATACTGCTCGTCTTGTCTGGGTGCATAATGGTGGCCATTTTTCTGAAGAGAGGGGGGTAGTGCCATCTCCCTTATCAAGATCAAGAGTTAAGAAAGCAAGTAAAGATTGAGGCAGTCTTCCCTCAGTTCTCCAAGAGGAAATGAGAAACTTCTCCGTTGGGGAATATATTGATGACAGGAAAAAGACATTTCAGGCACTCTTGGTAGAGAGGAACTCTGGTTTTCAAAAGGAACTAGAGTCCTTTCTGCTAATGGACATGGGGCTGTAAAAAGTGCCATATTGTATAGTTGGGTTTTTTTTGAACCTCTGGTAATCTACCTTCTTTCCACCTTGTTTTCCTCCTGACCCCATTCTCTCTTCTCTTCCTGCTTTCTTTCCCCCAAAATGCCAAAAATGAAACCAACCATGTTTCTCAAGGTGGTTTGAAAGTCACATGCATCAGAATTAATTGGGGTTGTTAAATTCAGATTCCTGGGCCCAGATTGAATTTCCCAGATTGAATTAGAATATCTGGGGGTGGATCCAGAGAATCCACATTTTTAAAGAGTCCCAGATGATTTCTCAGGCACTTTACACTTGGAACCTTAAACTACAGATCTTTGACATAATCTTTGTATCTTGACTGTGAGGGCAGACTGCTTCTAAGCTTTTTCTTCCTAATGAACTAGATCATCCTTACCATTCTCACCAGGAAGAGCCAGCTGTAGAGCCCCTGCTGAGAAATCATGGTTAGCATTGTTCACTCTCTGGATTTCAGGTATCATTCTGCCCTCTGGAAGGAGTTGAATTTTGTGCCCAAACACGAAGTATTCTGTTTTAGCAACTGATGCTTTTTAGACAGCACCCCCAGATGCTCTAGGAGCGAGTTCTACACCCTTCTCTCTGTGTGAGAGAAAGGAGTTCCCTGCCCAGAAGCACAAGCGAGAGAAGTTAGTGACTCTCCTAGAGCCCACAAACAGACCTATGTTTGGTGGCTAGAATGCAAAATTCGGTCAAGGAGCTCCGGTGGGGGTGGGGGGGTGGGCCTGATGCCTGTCCTGGGCGGACTTTGACAGGTCTGACTAGAATCAGCAGAGGAAATTCCTGTTAACTGATGCAAAGGGCGTTTGTCAGAGGCCCCAGCTTTCCTGTCAGAGGTGCCCAAGCCGATGCAAACTCCTGCTGCTGTTGCTGGTGTGAGGCTGGCCAAGTTTCTTGCGGTGGAGTCTTGTTTCCACCCCCAGCTCCTCTTCAGTCCTACAGATGGTGGTTTATTTGTACACTCTGTGCTGCTGTGGGATTGAAAGCCTCTCATTGTTTTTGAGCTCAGTGTTTAGATAACACCACATGCCTGTGGCAGCTAGGGCACCCTGTGAAGGACATGCCTGGACTCTAACAGCCCCGTCATTCATTCTCTGTATGTGAGTGAGTGTGGCCTCTGTTGAGGACCATTATGAGAACATTTCTCTGCAGAGATTATTACTTGGGGCCTGCAGGGCTACCAGCCTTCTTCTTGATGTTGGGAGTACCAAGTTCTGTTTCCTAAGTCTTCTTTCTCTTTCCATTCTTTTCAATCCTACAAGGATTAAAGTCTGTTTTGCCCCAAGCCTTGTTTCCGCATGGAGCTGCAGTACCAGAGCTTGCCTCCCTCTGGTGAGAAGACTGCTCTGGAAGACAGGGCTGACCCACGCTCGTGTGGGTGTAGATGGTTTGACGACTAGGCCAGGTTGCCATATGCCTTTGCACGTGGTTCCAAGGGCTCCTTTTCCTATGGGATATCTCTTTTCCTGTCCCCTTAATCTTACCCTTCACGCTCACAGCAAAAAAAGAAAATGTGTTGTCTTCATTCAATATTAAATCTCTTCTGGTAGTTTATAGCTCTTTAAGTTTTCACTTGGTAAAATGCTATTAAAACTTCTTCCTTAAAAATGTTCAGATAAATCTGCCAGGCTCTAATTTAGGTCTCTCAAGGCCGTTTCCAGCTCTGTGATTCCCTAGAATTTATAAGCCGTTTTTTTCCTAAAACTACTAGGACTCTTTTCTTTCCAGGACAACAACGTCTGTGTGAGGCAAAATGAGTTCGTAGTTTTGATGTCACATAAATTTCTGCGTCACTCCCGGTGTATATACTTAACCTCACTTTCCTGCCAGTAATTCAGCGCCCCAAGAATTGAACGCAGAGTACAAAAGAAGTTGGTTATGATATGGTCAGTGAGTAGTTCATCCCTTTGTAATGAAATAAGAGTCTGGTTAATCAAGGGCACTAATTACTGGAGGATAAACACACAGATACACACCCTTTGCTATTTAGTATTGTATAATGGTTAATGTTCATGGCCAGTCTGGTTCACTGTAAAACTGAAAGTATCTTCTGAGTCATCAAAAGAAATTATTTGGAACCAGATTGTGTGAGTTTGTTTTAATGTTAGGAATATTATGAGACTCCAGAAGAATAGTAGGCGAACCAGAGTGTTTCAGTCTCCCTAGTGAAGCTAGATAAATATATTAGCCAAATTACATATAGACTTGTTGGGAATTGTACAGGAAAACAAGTCATCCTGCTTCTCTAATTGTTATAGTACTTACCCTGCATTTAAATTGAAATTTTTTGTTTAATATTTACTCTTTAGTTATGCCATCTAGAACATAAAGTTTCTGTGAACAGATTAAAAATTCAAAAATAAATGCTTAAGTAATAAAATGATTTTTTTAGAAGATTTTTTTATTCATAAGAGAGAGTGTACACGGGAGCACAGGGGCTGGGGGGGAGAGGGACAAGCAGACATGCCACCGAGCACGGAGCCTGACAAGGGCTCCACCCTAGGACCCCAGGATCATGACCTGAGCTGAAGTCAGATACTTAACAGACTGAGCCACCCAGGCGCCCCAGTAATAAAATGATCATTGTTAAAAAAATATCCAGGGGCACCTGGGTGGCTCAGTTGTTTAAGCAACTTCCTTCAGCTCAGGTCACGATCCTGGAGTCCCCAGATCGAGTCCCACATTAGGCTCCCTGCTCAGCGGGAGTCTGCTTCTCCCTCTGACCCTCCCTCTTGTCAGGCTCTCTCTCTCATTCTTTCTTTCAAATAAATAAATAAAATCTTTAAGAAATATATCCAAATTAAACAGTAAAGTATCTGTTTTTCTTGCTGATGTGCTTTGTATCTCTAATACAAGGATAAATATGTCCGTTAAATGTCATCCATGATTAGCCAGTTAGAGTGGACACAACTTATCTCGCAGGGACTTGGTGAGTATCGCTTGATTATGTAGTTAGCTCAGGAAAATGAAGTAACTAATCATTTTAATATGTCTTTTTTTCATGATGCTTTTGTTCTTTATTTCCTTTAAATTAACTGGTAATTCACCTTTTGGAGATTGAAAAGAGGAACTGATAGGTTAAATAACTTGCTCTAATGAAATCAAGGAGCCATTCTTATCCCATTGTTATCGTCTAGCCTACCGCATAGAAATACTTCCAGATATACAAACCTGGCAGGAGATTCTGGACACATTTTGGGAAGAAGTAAATGTGGTCATTTTGTAGACTCTTGTCCATCCTGCCTCATGCCCAATCCCTCTGCTTCCTGCCTTCCAGTTCTCTCCTGCGCTACGGTGGCAATCTATCCCTCCAGAGTGCCATGAGCGTGCGATTCAACAGCAACGGCACCCAGCTCCTGGCCCTGAGGCGTCGCCTGCCCCCTGTGCTCTATGACATCCACTCCCGCCTGCCTGTGTTCCAGTTTGACAATCAGGGTTACTTCAACTCTTGCACCATGAAAAGTTGCTGCTTTGCAGGGGATCGCGATCAGGTAGGTGCCCTCTGTCCCTGCATCCTACATTTGTGCTTTCCTCTCAGATTGCTCCTTCTGTGCTGGTCTGTTTCTCTTTAGCATCATGTCAGAAACTGAGGCACACTGTGTCTCTGGAATTCTAGCATAATATTGAGTTTCTTTATCAGAGCTGCCTCTGAGTAATGCGAGGCACACACCATGAACCAAGGCTGGCCACGGTATAGTTCTGAGCAACCAAGCTTTGCCAGGTTTGTGAACAGACTTTAAGGTTCTAAGAATGTGTCATTTCAAAAGGAAGGAGGGAGTCCCTGGAAAATTAGCCTCCTGAAAAAAGAGAGACTGTGTGTGTGTGTGTGTGTGTGTGTGTGTGTATCAGTAAAACACAAT